ATCCTTAAGATGTTTGATGTGACTTAAAGAATCTATAATTACATTCAAGCTGTAAATGTATAATATATCTCCTCTAAACCAGACTGTGTGCTGCTTAGAAACCCATGTCAAGCTAAGTCAAAGTGGGTCAAAGAAAAAGTTTTAGTTTTTAATTAAAAGACTTCATATCGTGTTCAGTATTATGCATAATACCTGACTTAGATCGTTAGGTCACGAAACTGAAAGCAAATGAAGAGCGTCATTGATAATGTATTGTGCTTAGATGAGTTCAATACGTATATTATATATAATTCTTAAAGAAAGCTGCTATGAATATGAGTCATTTATTTGTCGTGTAAAAGTGCTTTCACTTATGAAATATAAGTTTTGTGAAATATCACAAACGGATAGTGCGCTGGAGCTGAGTCAATATTTCTGCTTTAAGCTGAGTCATTTATTACCAACGTAATATTGACAGAAGATGAAAATAAATATTATTAATGATGGCACGGTTGCCTTGCCGGTTTTTAACACCGTTAAGCATACAATTAACTTTACATTTCGTCTGGCCTACTAAGTGAAATTCTTGGTTGGTCGGTAATGGAAATGTTTGCTCTGCGATAAGCTAAGTGACGTTCCAAGTATACGGTTTTATACGGTTAACTCATAACCATGTTATATCAATATAGTATATCAAGTTAGGCTAGGTTAGTGAAGTTTTACGATCGTATAAACACTTCAAGCCGTGTAGTGACGATGTGAGAATATCTACTTCCCCATATCGTCCCGTGGATGTCGTAAAAAAATGAGTTTGCCAACCCACCTGCAATATATGGGAGAGACGTATGTTCAGCGAAGAACTTTTATAGACGATAATTAATAGTTGGAAGCACTTCAGATTCATGCGATCATCATCAGTACATCTCATTAAAAGTCCAATGTTTACACAAACCACTGGACCACTATCAACGACCTGCATATTTCACTTTTATCATCAAGCCGTACTGATAGGAGGGGCAGGGGTAGCCCTACGTTGCGCTTGCGCAGTCCTCGAACTTTTTTCCTTTTTCCTTATCTGTTTTCGGTTCTTCAAACTATACGAGTATAGTTTGAAGAATATATTGAGTTCAATAAAAACAAAAATGTAGACGACATTTAAAAAAACAGTTACTAAAACTAGTTACAGGTAGTAGTTAATATTATTTTTTTGTAAATCAGGCATAACTAATTACATAAATGTACATTTCCCGGGTTATTAAATAAATATAGGTACCATAGATTAAGTATAAAACCCCCTACATTTTAGAGAATACTAGATACAAAAATATTTCTTAAAATATTGTTGTTGCGTGTTTTGAAATATGTAATGGTTTGAAGTAGATTTGGATAAGTAAAAGTGGTGCGATTTTGTGTATTAAAAACTTGCACATGTCACAAGTACAACAATGACTAAGCGGAAGCGAAATAATTGCCCAGATGGTGATATAAACTTCAGGTAATGGTATCCGCCACGATTTGGCGTTTTAAGATTTCACTGGGTGAATAGAACTCTTTTTTCGGTCTAGAGATCCGTCTGAGTACCTAGGTTTCATCCCCATGTTTGGTCCTCGGAGGTGACGCATCTGTGGCTTTCTTTGTTTGAAGTTGCTACGAGGTAGAGTCACGCTGGAGCTTTATTAAGCGGGCTACATACGACACGATATCGGTGGCGATCTAGGGTGGAAAGAAATCGGGGCTTTTATCGGGGTAGACCTTACACACGGGCCTGCCTAGCAGTACGCGTTCGGACTTGGAGCGGAATGCATATGCGGTAGAGTTCTTCAAAATACCTCCGACTCTCTTAAAACACCACCGTGTTGGTTTGGCATTAGCAATCTCGGTTAATTTATTCGAAAATAGAAAAAGAGAAGTTGCTGGGTGAAAAAATGGCTCCAAAAGAGATAAAAATTAAGCCACATAAACGTACTAAATGGCCTGTAATCCAAGGACGTGATTAATTTTCTCCGGATGGATGAAGACAGTTTTTATAACCTTCTAGAAATGATTTCGCCACTTATATAAAAACGTCAATTTCTCCTACCTATGCTATTTAGTTATTTCTTCTCTTTGTTCATTTCTGCTTTGGTCAAAATCTGGTTATGTATTACACACAACAAACAAGGAAATAAAATACTTTTGTATAATAATATGTATACTTTTTTTTTAATGTAATCTTTATTTATGGAGTAAAACTATCAGAAAATAAAATAGCTTATATCTTTTTTTAAACATAAAGAAACCTTTAATTTCGAACATACTCCCTTTTATATAACTTGTTTGTTGATGTGGAGATGGTGAAGGAGTAGAAGTTAGTTGTTGATAAGAGGATGAAGGCACGCAAGAGATCGAAGTGTGGTCTTGTGGAGTTGTAAGAGATATGAGTGCGGTCTTGTGTTGATAGCGTTGGAATAGGAGTTAGTTGTTGAGGAGGCTTTATCTTCTCCTTACTTACATCATACACTCTACTTTACGAACGGCAATAAAAAAATTAGTTTAGTAGGCATTCTTGATCATGTCACTTCGCAGGGTCACAGGCTAGGGTGGATATGATTTGAATTTCGATAAAATTTCAATTAATTTATTTATTTTATTCACTTTTTTTTGGTTTTTTGTAAAATATCAGTGCCATAGGCTTCTACTCCGTTTATATGATTAAAATGTAAAAATTTTGTTATATAAAAAAGGTCATTCAGTATCACTGTTTTGTTAACTTCCTTCCGCGAGGGTTGCCGGCAGCGACTGCCAAAAGAAATCGGGCCGATGCGCCTACACACACGCAGTAAGGAGGGGGCGGTGCCCCGATCTGCGAAGCATCGGCTGATCTAGGAAGCATTTTTTGCTCCTGCCAGCCGATTAAGGAGGCGATATCGGCCACGACTTAGGATGGCCCTACATACGACACGATTTAGAGGCAATCTAGGAGGCATCCCCACTACTCCACCCTAGATCGCCACCGATATCGTGTCGTATGTAGCCCGCTTCGCCTCCTTAATCGGCTGGCAGGAGATATAAATTAATTGAAATTTTATCGAAATTCAAATCATATCCACCCTAGCCTGTGACCCTGCGAAGTGACATGGTCAAGAATGCCTACTAAACTAATTTTTTTATTGCCGTTCGTAAAGTAGAGTGTATGATGTAAGTAAGGAGAAGATAAAGCCTCTCCTCAACAACTAACTCCTATTCCAACGCTATCAACACAAGACCGCACTCATATCTCTTACAACTCCACAAGACCACACTTCGATCTCTTACGTGCCTTCATCCTCTTATCAACAACTAACTTCTACTCCTTCACCATCTCCACATCAACAAACAAGTTATATAAAAGGGAGTATGTCCGAAATTAAAGGTTTCTTTATGTTTAAAAAAAGATATAAGCTATTTTATTTTCTGATAGTTTTACTCCATAAATAAAGATTACATTAAAAAAAAAGTATACATATTATTATACAAAAGTATTTTATTTCCTTGTTTGTTGTGTGTATACATAACCAGATTTTGACCAAAGCAGAAATGAACAAAGAGAAGAAATAACTAAATAGCATAGGTAGGAGAAATTGACGTTTTTATATAAGTGGCGAAATCATTTCTAGAAGATTATAAAAACTGTCTTCATCCATCCGGAGAAAATTAATGACGTCCTTGGATTACAGGCCATTTAGTACGTTTATGTAGCTTAATTTTTATTTTTTTTGGAGCCATTTTTTCACCCAGCAACTCCTCTTTTTCTATTTTCGAATAAATTTACCGAGAGGGCTAATGCCAAACCAATACATTGGTGTTTTAAGAGAGTTGAAGCTATTTTGAAGAACTCTACCGCATATGTGTTCCGCTCCAAGTCCGAACGCGTACTGCTAGGCAGGCCCGTGTGTAGGGTCTGCCCCGATAAAAGCCCCGATTTCTTTCCACCCTAGATCGCCACCGATATCGTCTCGTGTGTAGCCCGTTTTATGGTTGTAGCGCGAATGGGTCGGCTCGACTAGGGCAGGGAGGACACAGAATAACTATGTAAATTACCAGCTTAATGCTGCTGTGTTTCGTATGGTGAGTGTAGAGAACTGGAGACCCGTTGCTCTGGAAACGAGTCATTCCAACTTAGTTCTCAGGGGTGACGACGCATTTACATTTTGATTTTTAATTGAAGATAAAAATATATATGTGTATAGGCCGCAGCATCAACTTACCATCAGGTGGACTGTGTGCTCGCTTGTCACCCTTATTCTATAAAATAAAAGTTTGTTGAAGATGTTCATAGACTGTAGTAGTTACTTACCATCAGGTAGACTGTGATTTCGTTAGCCACTATAATTTTATAAAAAGTTATATTTGATTGTTGAAGATTAGTCTTTTTAACATTAATTCTAAAAATATTAGACCACGCACAATAAAATATTATAAAAGTCACTTTCATATAGGGTGTAGATGTGCTTTTCTAATTATGAAGGCATTATTTGGTCGATCCTCTACAGCTTATCAGTAAATTACCCGAGTAGAAAGAGAGAAACTGCTGGTAGCCGTTCGTCTATTTAATTTACTTTGGTTCTGCTACGGATATCCTAGTTAAGGATTGTATCTTACTAAGATACCTCGAACATAGGCTATTCACAGTATAATATATGGATTTATAGACTGTGGCTTATTCTACTGATCAATTCAAAAATAAAAACATAATAATATATAAATATAAGTAAACTCGTATACATATGCGTATACTAAAAGATACGCGCTCACTTCGCCGAGTGCACGATAATATTTTATTGCGGAATTTAGATGTAATATATCAAGAAAAAAATTTTTACTGGACTATCGTAAAATCCGTTCTTAGTAAGCGTTTACATTGAGAAATGAGTAGGTAACTAATATACAAAATTTCAAGTTAATCGGGTTTATAGTTTTAGAGATATCGTGTTGAATCAGTCAGTGGTATTTCGCTTATATATAATATATAGATAACCGTAAAGCAATTATTTATATTTCAGGTTTCAAATCAACTGCCACTCAGACGCAATCTGTTGAAGAAAGTACACTACCAAGTTTAATAAAAGAAGTTGAAGATAACAGCCGTTACAAAACATTGGAGGCCAATGCCACACTTTTAAAACTTCTAGTGGACGATAAAGATGGTGTTAGTAGGTAAGTAGTAATAATTGTAATGACTACTGAAATTGTTAATAAATAACTTCTATGAAAGCATAGTAAGTCGTTCAATTATTCGATAAAAGTTACGATAATTTAAATTGGAAAAGACACATCGACAGGATATCCGCATTAGAACCAGAGTAACCTACATATGCCCAACGGATCAGTAAACTGAAGTAGGTAGGTAATATTTGGCCAGCCATATAGCTCGAAGTACCGACAACCGATGGGGAAGAAAGTTTGTTAAGTGGTAGCCTCATACTAGTAAAACAATAACACAATAAAGCAACTGCCCTGGTGTTGCAGTTGTTCGTGGGTGGCGGACGATAACATATTATATGTCCCGCTTTGACAAACAAAAGCGTAATACCATAAGGCCATAAGTGGAACGTTCTGTCACCTATGCCATGATTGTGGTCCCCACAGCGCATAGGGTAGATACAAGATTTGTCAGCGTGGGTGCATGTCTGAGAAGTTACATTTTTTAACAGTCCAAAGTTAAGAAATGACAATTTATTAATTGATCCGCAATAAATTATTAAATATCAACCAATTATTCCAAAATAATTGCTCTTCTGAAAAATATTAACTATATACAATTAATTCTTATTTTCAAATTTTATTATTTCAAAACGAACATTCCATAAACACGATACGTTTTATTTTTAAACCCATAATATTTTAAAGCGCCAACATTTACAAAAAGTGAACGCTTCTTATGGTAAATATTGCCCTTTTACAATGTAAAGACGTCAATGATGAGTAAAATAATTTATCTAACTCAGTTGCAGGAGGTAATTATCGACTTGTGACGCCTGCAGATGTTCTTCTTTGGATTGCAATAATTAACGTGGCTGTGCTATAAACCTCGTCATTTATGTAAATTGAGTGAAAAACAAGATCTTGTAAGACACGCAGCTTTCGCGCCTTACCTCTAGTCGGTCTAAAACTGGTCAGTTAAATTAATGAGGAATCTATCTTTAACGGAATTAACGTAATTTATGCAGCCATTCGCAGGTTCGTTTGCATTGAACTTGATTCTTTGAAAGACTGCTTAATTAATATTTATAGATTCTTCGATATATCGGAAAGACATAATTAATCTATTTAACATATTTCTGTAAAATTTTATAAGTCTATAGAAATTCGTTTCAGTTTACAATTATGTGCTTTATTAAATCCTTATAAATCCTTATAAAAGGGACAGAGGTGACTGACGTCCCGATGTTAGTGTTAAACTGTTAACCCGGAGTACCTTCACCGTTTTAATTATTATTTATGGTCCGATCTACGCAGATTGAACTTACTGTGACCTGAAGTCTCGCAGTGGTATGCTTTGGTTTAGTTTTAATTTTATTGATTATAGGGTCCCAAGCAGGTGGTAGTAACCAGCCTCCTTCGCTATTGAAATTAGGATGTTTTTATAATTTCAATAGACTCACGTATCATCCTTGGTAGGAATCGATGTTCTTTCGCGAAGATTTGTGTGGTGTTCTATCAAATCTAATGTTATAGTTGGGGCCGTCATGGGTATAATCACAAACTGCATTTCTTCTGCGTAAATCGGACCATAAATAATAGTTAAAAAGCTGAAGTACTCCGGGTTAACAATGACACCGGGACGTCAGTCACCTCAGTCAGTCCCCAGTGACCATGGGTGCTGGAAAGCACCCGAAACGTCGGATATTAAAATAAAATAAATTAACCGCGATAAAATCCGTAAAAGTAGTTTTAATCAATACTTAACTCTGATTGGCTTGATTTTGGTTTATAGGCGTATAGTTTACGAGTAATGATTTTTTTTTGTAATATCCCAAAAAATGACCCAAAGTTACTTCTGTAACAGCTTCGGCGCTGCGGGAAGTGCAGCCCCTTCGCCCTTGCGTAGCAAATCGCAGGCACCCATACTCACCTCCGCAGCTTCGGTTTATTGGTCGCCATCGATGACCTACCTCAGCCGCTACGGCTCGCACGGGCGCCTGCAATTTGCTACGGCCGGGCGTGGGCTGCACTTCCTCCGCGCCTTAAGCTATAAATTGCATTGCACTTCTAAAGCGGCAATCTTGCAGTATCTATAGCTATAGGCCTTATCACTTTTATTACAGAACTTTTATTCGAAGCTTATAATGATACTCTTTCAATGTAAACTAGTAAACGCTGATAAGTTTACAATCACGTGTTGTGTAATCTCATGTTTTTGTTAAATGTGACATTATTACAGTATTTTAGTCCTAGTTTAATATGAGCAGAACTTGGTCTGCAATCAGTGTAGGTATTGTATTCAAGTTGCAATAAATAAAACTTTATTTATTTATAATACGGCTTTGAAATATAAAATAAAATAACTTTATAAAAATAATTGTATAGTAGTTACGTTGTACCAGTTCTGGCTCACTGAGTCAGAAGTGGTGCAAGTACGACGTTCGTCTACTCACGATCCTAAAAAAAAAGGTTTTGGCATGCTCTGATCACGAATCTGCGTTCTTGCGTTTTTTTGCGTAGGATGCACGGTTCCGGAGATGTGTAGATCAATTAACTCTTATCTAATTGATATCCGGTGAAGGCCTCCACCGTCATTAGCGCTCCATTGTTCTTATTACAAAATCTTATTACTTATTATCTATAAATGGAGCGAAATTAACTAAAATCGTTGTACAATGTGTTCCCTGTAAATATACTCGTAAAACTATGCATTGAACATCCCTGAAATTTATATAGCAAATACATTAAGCAATATTCGCCTCAAACTGAAGTCCACTCATTCTGAATCCTATGAATATTCCAGCTCCATCTTTTACAATTACTTTTTAAAAACTCTAGATGATATCGTACAGGTGCTCGTCCGAATGAATCAAAATATTGACCGACGTCATTCGTATCGATATATAAAGCTACCCAATGTGACCCTGGTTTATCATCTGTATCCAAATTGCATATTATATACGTTGGTACGTGGGTGTACATGGGCAGTTTATTGGCAGCATAAACATTATTTTCTAGAGTGGGGTGAATCTTTTTCAGATGTTGTTGTACATCTAGTGTATCCATGATATTACTGCTATTAGTAGATTATTACAGTACAATCTACTCAATGACTAACATAGGAATGATCAATTATAGTGATTTCTAAATATTAAATTGCATTATTTTGTGTTATACAAAACGTATTTGAGTCATCAATACACTGAACAAGACGCGACACGAAGTAATGTTGAGATAAGCAACAAAATGTGAGATAAGCTTGTTGACGGATAAAGTTACTATCAATTCCACTGCACAAATTCTTTAGATTAGAATTATTACTTACTGGTACTACATAAGACCAAGCAAGTGCAGTCATGGAGTTAGTGTATGGTCGTTTGACTGCAGTGGATCTATCAATACTACATTTGTGTTACTTCAACGCATCAAAGGCCATGGATGTAAGTGTTTATTCTATTGACAAACTTACTTTTCTTTCTGTTATTTTCTTACGTGTGTATGATTTAGTGTTAACAAATTATATTTAAATATTGTGTGTGTATATGATTAAGCCGTGGTAGCTCAGATGGTTAGCGCAAGCTGTAAATTTCACAATACGCGACCCGGGTTCGATCCCCGCCGGCACCAATTAAAAAGTTAATTGCAATTTTAAGTGTTTATTCTATTGACAAAGTTACTTTTCTTTCTATTATTTTCTTACGTGTGTATGATTTAGTGTTAACAAATTATATTTAAATATTGTGTGTGTATTATATTAAGCCGTGGTAGCTCAGATGGTTAGCGCAAGCTGTAAATTTCACAGTACGTGACCCGGGTTCGATCCCCGCCGACACCAATTAAATTGTTAATTGCAATTTTAAGTGTTTATTCTATTGATAAACTTACTTTTCTTTCTGTTATTTTCTTACGTGTGTATGATTTAGTATTAACAAATTATTTTTAAATATAGTGTGTGTGTATTATATCAAGCCGTGGTAGCTCAGATGGTTAGCAATGGTTCAGATGGTAAAATGGTTAGCAAGCTGTAAATTTCACAGTACCCGGGTTCGATCTCCGCCGGCACCAATTAAATTGTTATTTGCAATTTAACAAATTATATTTAAATATTGTGTGTGTACCGCATCTACGAATACTAGAGTAGTTAAAAAATACTTTTTTAACAATGACAGTCATTAGTTGATCATTAGTGAATGTGATTCTGTTTACTTAAATTACAGGAAGACAAGAGCAGGCAAGAAGGAAGAAATGGGACGATGGGAAGTAATGAAGCATTGTTATGTGAAGTTTGTTGAAACAAACATATTTTTAGTCACGTGTAAATACTTTTAACATTTTGGTTCAAAATGACACAAAATCTAAAAAATATTAGATTCATCATCGACTTGGACGGATTTTACATTACATATCCTCATAAACATTTTCAATGTAGAGAAATGGCTATTCTAGATGTAAAACTAATCTAATAAAAATGATGCGTTTATCGATCATTATTTGTTTCGGCCAAGTTATCCTTTCAATTATTTGTCGCCAAAAGACAAAAAAACTGTTGGTTATTGTGAAACACACGTGCACGGCATTCAATATTTTGATGTGACCGAAGAATTAAGATGTGCCTACAAACAAGAGAACATCATTCCCATATTAAATTGGTATATTAGAAATTTGTGCAAAGACGAAGTGATCGCATACAAAGGTGGTTCAACAGAAAAACAATTCTTAAAAATGTTGACGACGATTGATAGATTGTCTATTTACATTTTACATTAAACATTGAAAGATGTTTATGAGGATATGTAATGTAAAATCCGTCCATGTCGATGATTCTTTTGTTGGCATTTTGAACCAAAATGTTAAAAGTATTTACACGTGACTAAAAATATGTTTGTTCCAACGAACTTCACATAACAATTCACTCTTCATTACTTCCCATCATCCCATTTCTTCCTTCTGCTCTTGTCTTCCTGTAATTTAAGTAAACAGAATAACATTCACTAATGATCAACTAATGACTGTTATTGTTAAAAAAGTATTTTTTAACTTTTTCACTTTCTGCTATTGTCTTTGTATTTATGGTTAGGAAATGTCCGCGGCGCTGCCTCAATGCGTGTTGGCGAACTTCACATGCCTTCGAAATTTTCTCAGACTGCCGGCGGGGATCGAACCCGGGTCGCGTACTGTGAAATTTACAGCTTGCGCTAACCATCTGAGCTACCACGGCTTAATCATAATACACACACAATATTTAAATATAATTTGTTAACACTAAATCATACACACGTAAGAAAATAACAGAAAGAAAAGTAAGTTTATCAATAGAATAAACACTTAAAATTGCAATTAATAATTTAATTGGTATCGGCAGGGATCGAACCCGGGTCGCGTACTGTGAAATTTATAGCTTGCGCTAACCATCTGAGCTACCACGGCTTAATATAATACACACACAATATTTAAATATAATTTGTTAACACTAAATCATACACACGTAAGAAAATAACAGAAAGAAATGTAACTTTGTCAATAGAATAAACACTTACATCCATGGCCTTTGATGGGTTGAAGTAACACAAATGTAGTATTGATAGATCTGTGCTATTGATAGAACTGCGGTCAAACGACCATGCACTAACTCCATGACTGCACTTGCTTGGTCTTATATAGTACCAGTAAGTAATAATTCTAATCTAAAGAATTTGTGCAGCGGAATTGATAGTAACTTTATGCGTCAACAAGCTTATCTCACATTTTGTTGCTTATCTCAATGTGTCGCGTCTTGTTCAGTGTATTGATGACTCAAATACGTTTTGTATAACAAAAAAAATGCAATTTAATATTTAGAAATCACTATAATTGATCATTCCTATGTTAGTCATTGAGTAGATTGTACTGTAATAATCTACTAATAGCAGTAATATCATGGATACACTAGATGTACAACAACATCTGAAAAAGATTCACCCCACTCTAGAAAATAATGTTTATGCTGCCAATAAACTGCCCATGTACACCCACGTACCAACGTATATAATATGCAATTTGGATACAGATGATAAACCAGGGTCACATTGGGTAGCTTTATATATCGATACGAATGACGTCGGTCAATATTTTGGTTCATTCGGACGAGCACCTGTACGATATCATCTAGAGTTTTTAAAAAGTAATTGTAAAAGATGGAACTGGAATGTTCATAGGATTCAGAATGAGTGGACTTCAGTTTGTGGCGAATATTGCTTAATGTATTTGCTATATAAGTTTCAGGGATGTTCAATGCATAGTTTTACGAGTATATTTACAGGGAACACATTGTACAACGATATTTTAGTGGATGAGATGTTTCGCTCCTATTTTATAGATAATAAGTAATAAGATTTTGTATTTTGTAAATAAAAATTTTAACAAAATTAGGTAATGTGTTTTATTGATGAGTCAGATTAGTGTAGATAGTAACAAAGGAGTATAATACAATAGCACCACGCTGAGGAAGAATAGATAATGACGGTATTCAAATTTTTTTTTTAGGATCGTGAGTAGTCGTACTTGTACCACTTCTGACTCAGTGAGCCAGAACTGGTACAACGTAACTACTTTGTATTGTCTTGAAATTTCATATAATGTACATCTTAGCGATAACCTGACAGTATAGTTAGGCTTTTGTACTTAGAATAGTTTATATAGTATAAACTATTCTAAGTACAAAAGCCTGACTATAAGTGTTTAAGCAGTTTATACTATATAAACTTTAGTTCTAAATTTTTTTTCATATTATTACCATTACAGTCGAGTATTTTAGTGTTCAACGTAATTAATGGGTCGTGAGTTCGAATCTTAACGCAGACAGAAAGTATTTATGCAAACAACAACTTGATTTTGTTGTAATATGAATGATTGTCTCGGTTCCTCTTTAGTTCGGTTACAATGATTTAATCGTATACAGCAGCGACGGCGAAACTTTTTACGAAAAGGGTCAACTTTGTTCTTTATTATTTTTGGTCATTTAAAAATCCTGCTTGGGTCAGTGTTTGACCCGCGGGTCATACATGGATTTTACACGTTCGCCGTCACTGGTATACTCGTGGATTACTCGTACGCGTAGAATATTTCTATTTTACCATAACTCATGTCCAGACTTGGACAAAAGCATACCCAAGAATGTACCAGTTAGTAACTGTTATGCATTATTTACTTCATATTCATCATTTACTGAACTATGTTACCAGTTCCGAAGTGTTCGACATGCTGCACTCCCGTGATGACAATCAACAGCACATAGACCTCCCCACTTTTCCTGAAGACTCGGAGGACGCTCGGACCGACGTTACCTCAGTACCGGATTCACAAGCCGAGTTTTTGCAGGGTTGGTATTTGTTATAATAATTCATATAAATAAAAACTTAAGTTACAGCCTATATACGTCCCAATGCTGGGCACAGGCCTCCTCTCATTTCATAGAGGATTTAATTGCAAGGAAATGTCTGCCGAGCTGGCCGATTTTTTAATTTCTCGGACTTGCAGGTTTACTCACGATGTCTTCCTTCACTGCCGAGCGCGTAGTACAGCACTTAAATTGTATTTAACAATATTCATTGCCGCCGGCGGAGATTGAACCCGGGTCGCAGAATAAATAATAGTAGGTACCTATTACGCTCGGGTTGCTCGCGTACTGTAATATTAGCAGTGAACGCTTAGCGTTTGTGCCACCACGGATTAATATTATTTAATATTTTCACACTTATTGTGCTATATGAGAAATGTAATACCTACAAATAGAGTTATATTTATTGATCTAAGAAGATGTACGTAAGAGATATGTTAGTAAAATAGCTTTTTGCATCGCGTGACTTCCGACAAACTGATGAACTTAATACTGACTGGATATTAGTACACAAGATCCCTAGCATAGAGTGGGTGTGCCATCCTCTTGTTTATTGCTGCGATTATATCATATCCTTCATTTTTTATAGGATAGGGTGACAAACGAGCACACAGTCCACCTGATGGTAAGTGGTTGCTGTGCCCCGTAGACATCTACGTCTTTCCCCGATTACGAATCAAAATGCAGATGCGTTGTCACCCGTGAGGACAATATGGAATGCTTCATTTCCAGTAAAAAGGGGTCGCTGGTTCTCTACACTCACCATACGAAACATAGCAGCATTAAGCTACTATTTGACGCCGGTGTTCTGTGAGAGTGTGGTCCTTCCCCGGTCGAGCCGACCCATTCGTGCTATAACTATACTACTAATATATTTGCAGCATGGGTCTACCACATATACCTTCATGTTGTATTGGACCTTTTCTATTTTTATTATTTAGAGTAATAAAAAAGTCTAAGCAGTGTAACAGTCTACCTCATGGTACCTAATTAGTAACGGCAGCCCATGCATACCTGAACCTGAAACTAACTTGCAACAAGTCATAGACGCATAGACTACGATAAAATGTGTCACAGCCTGTAATTAAACCGGTTAACAATAGATTAAATGCACTTTCTTGAATCTTTTGCTTGGCCACCGAAATAGCCATGTGGGTTGTGGTAACCCATACGAAATGCTAATCATTAGAAAAGCAGCTCTACCACAAAATTAAGCCTTTCAGTGATGGTCCTGCAATAAATTGCTGGGAATATTATAAGTACATATTTATAAGGTAGACTATAGTGCTTAGAAACTTGTCGAATTAAGTGCAGAACATAACTCGCTAATTACAATTTGTTTGTTACAAAAATTTTGGCCTTTTGCATTACATACATACATTACACAATAATGAACACAATTAGATTTTTTAAATATATAATAAGGGTGACACAAGAGCACACAGTCCACCTGATGGTAAGTGGATGCTGTGGCCCATAGATATCTACATTTATCCTCGATTAAGTCAATATGCAGATGCGTTGCCACCCCTGAGGACTAAGATAGAATGCCTCGTTTTCAGTAAAAAAAGGGTCGCCGGTTCTCAACACTCAGCATACGAAACACAGCAGCATTAAGCTGCTATTTTACGCGGGTATTCTGTGAGAGCGTGGTCTTTCCCCTGTCGAGCCGACCCATTCATGCTACAACCATAATATAGCTGCAGCGTGGCTCTACCACGTATAAAATATTGATACTTATAGACCATACAACTACTTGTTCGGCTTAGGAAGTCCTTGAATCAGTACACAACTCTGAGAGCTCATATAAAAAACAAATTATGATCGAAATATAATCATCGAGCACTGGCTTTCTAGCACAAAAATGCATTATTAATTCCTTTTTACTTATACGGAACCACAGACTAACCAAAACAGACAGAACCTAACGTAATATTTCGTATATTACATGTAGTCATGTACGGAAATCATGCTTAGTACCTATATCGTAAGAACGCGGACTCACCGACACATTCACATAAAACCACGGCCATTAGCAGGTGCATACGAGCGCAGTTTCCGCGTCCTTTGAAATTAACGCGAGTACTGTTCTGTTTTTCTTTGTTGCTCTAAGTATGGCAATTAGAACGTCTTATAACGTAGGTACATGCAATTAAATAATGACAGAAGTACGAGCATTCCTTACAATGATATTTTAAAATAAAAAAAAGAGTATAGTTGTTGAGATCCGTAAAAAGAGAGGAGTAAGTATTCGAGACATGTTTTTATTCATTTTGTATTGAAGGAACGTCATGGTTTCCTTGTATTGTAATCTTAGTTTTTATATAGAATAGGATGACAAACGAGCACACAGCCCACCTGATGGTTAGTGGTTGCTGCGGCCCATAGACATCTACATCTATCCTCGATTACGAATCAAAATGCAGATGCGTTGTCACCCAATCTACTAGTTTTAAGGCATGTACTTTTTAAAACGAAATAAAATTATATTTTATTTATTTTTACCCGTGAGGCCTAAGATGGAATGCCTCGTTTCCAGTAAAAAGGATCTCGGGTTCTCTACACTCACCATACGAAACACAACAGCATTAAGCTACTATTTAGTGTTGGTATTCTATGAGAGCCTGGTCCTTCCCCGGTGAGCCAACCGTTATGTACTACAACCATAATATAGCTACATCGTGGCTCCACCACTTATAACGTAACGGTAACGTTTAGAGAGTGAGTAGTAGAGCCACACAAAAGCATGATATTATGACTGCAGCAGAAGTGAGTCGGTTCTGCAATGGTCTGGATCTGGAGAGATACCGCTTTCGCACAGAACACCTACGTGAAATTCAGCATTGTGCTGCCGTGTTCTGTATATGACGAGAACCCTTTTACTGATAACTAGGCTTTCCATCTTGGTCTTCAGGGGTGACAACGGTTCCGCATTTAGACTGTTAATCAATGATAAATGTAGAAATTGTACTCCTTTGTCACCCTTATCTATTTTTAAACAACCTAAATACAATAAAATTCTGTTTATAGAATTGACAAAACTGCCAAAAATGTTTTGTTTGAAATAATTTAAGTATCCTACTCGTACTGTTAGTTTTAGCTTTGTTCCAGTTTTAAACTCTAAAATAAATAAGTAATAACAATTTTGCGATTCTAGTTCCGGGAGAAGCAGTGCGTAGAGACTCGCAGCGATTACGGTCAGGTTCACGGGTGGAACCGATCGGCGCAGCTGCCGGAATCATGGTGGTAGTCACTTGCTCCATAATGTGCATAGCTTACACTTCTCTTGTTGTGTGGAGGAGGATATATTTGTAAGTATCCAGTGAATAAATATCAATCGAAAAGTAACAACCTATATTGTACGTTCGATTACGATAATGTAGGATGCAGAACTCCTTAAAATTTTTATTAGAAAATAATAAAAATAGAATCCTCACGCTATGTCTCTGTGGGTTTACAGATTTAGACACAATCTGCAATTGAGTCAACGCGTTGTTTGATTTCTATCCGGATATTTCGCCGATAACCGAATTAAGCATTACTTACCTACGATTAGAACGGCGGCACTTACCTACATATAACGTTTATACTTATTAATTATCACAAGTATTTTTATTCTACCTGTGGACATAGATATAGATATTTTCAAGAATATCATCTATCATGAAATACATGAATAGTTTGTGAATACACATCGCGTGGTCTTAAATGTATTGACATTTGGTTGAAGGTTGGGATATTCTTCTATCCTTATGTTTTTATACTAACAAAAGTCTAAATTGCTATATCCTCCAATGATACGTTTTGAGATTTGCGACAGCAGTAGCACGAGGAAGTTACCGGGCAACTTTCACTACTGATTTTGTTTTTACGTTCTTACAATTTTTGAGATGTAAGTAGGTATCTATGTATAGGTACATTTGCCTTCCTGCAGTGCGATTTCTTTTTCTCTTCACAAAGGTATAAAATTTCATATTGCTACTTAAATAATACGGTTATAGACTAGATTATGTGGAGTTAGATTGTGTGAGGCTGGTGGGAATCGTTTACCGTGTGGAGGCACTATGAACTTACCTTATGTTTTTTTTGGTAACACTTTTTTTATAGGAAAAGGGTGTCGCTTGTCACCACACAGTGCGGCACACGGCACACAGTCCACCTGATGGTAAGTGGTCGCTATAGCCCATAGACATCATCATCTTCGTTTATATACATAAGTATATCCTCGTTTGCGAATCAAAATTCAAATGCGTTGTCAGCCTTGAGGACTAAGATGGAATGCCTTTTTTCCAGTAAAATGGGTCCCCGGTTCCCTACAGTCACCATACGAAACACAGCAGCATTAAGCTGCTATTTGAGGCTGGTATTCTGTGAGCGCGTGGTCCTTCCCCGGTCGAGCCGACCCATTCATGCTACAACTATACAATAAATATTGCTGCAACATGGCTCTACCACGAAGGAAACCTAAAAGAACATATTTATTTATAACATCATTGGCTTTTAATTGATACCGATTCATTACACAATAGAAAGGTAATAAAACGATAAAAATCACCTGACCCAACCACCATTTCCACCAGTTACACAATCATACGTTGTTCAATAACAACAATAATTTTCTTTAAAAACATTCTTGTACATTTTATGCATAATATTTCACCAACCGCTGCGTTTGGGACTAAACAATTTTATAAGAAGCAAGCTTTATGGTTAAACTCGGCACATAAAATTCTCATCTGTGCACTATAAGGTTTCCATATCAATGCGAGTAGGTTCACACTCGCTTTATTCGTGGCTTCCCATGTAATGTGAAGCGACCATTGTGTAGGGTAACTTAATATGTCTTCCCAATGCACCGCTGCGTAGGAAGCGGTCAAGTTAGACGGAAATGCGTTGTAAAACGAATGGAACTTGTAAAAAACGAAGAACAAGTTACGTTTTGGACAGGTTTATTCGAGTTTGATAGATCGCCTTTAGTTCTTGACGTAAACGATCGACGTTTGATTACATTATACAACTACAGCCAGCTAAAGCATTGAATATATACACCGAGGCAATGACACTTTTTTAAACCCAGAGAAGATATACTCAATTTTTTTTTCAAAACAAAACAGAATAAAAATTAGGTATAGGATTTTTAGAAAGAATAATGAAAAATAGAGTTTTAAAGAAACGGTCTCGTTAAAGGTGAAATATTTTATAGAGATACAGGAAGTAATTAACAAATATACCTACCATTATGCGTATCGATTTCAGATGCTGATTTTTAATATATACGTCCCACTGCTGGGCGTGGGCTTATTCGCATTATTTTTAGTAAGGATGAGTCCGTCGCTCTGCCCTATAGCATGTTGTCAGACACAAATGCAAATATATTCTCCCAATTTCTCAGACATGACAGTTTTCATGATGTTATCGTTAAATGTCGAGAAGGTGCGAAATGAGCACTTAAAATTTCGTTGGTGCCGGCGAAAATCGAACTTTGTTATCTACTGTACTGTGTAGATCTGAACTTATAAAGCGAGTGCTCAATATGCTCTGAGCATGTGCCAACAGTGGCTTAGCAAGGGGGTCGAGGTGACCATGGCCTCGATAATTTCAAGGACACACTTTCTATATAAAAAGCTTTGATTAAAATTTTAAAACTTTATATACACTGTAGCATTGCAAGTTTTGAAAGTAGTATAAAAATACATGTTTAATTGATTGATCAGTTATATAAAAATACCATAGAAGACTTACTGATTCTATATTTTTAAGATGCTTATTTAAAAAATGAGGTAGGATCCAATCCAATGCCACTAGTTGCTACGCATTTTTAGTATCTAAGAGTGATATTAATATTAATCTATCTTAACAATTTCAAGGAAGAGAAATGGCCTCAAGCATGAACTTCTAAGAAACGAGGAGAACGTAGCAGAGACCAGAATTGAAGTAAGTAACGTAAGAAATAACCTTACAACTGTTTTTAATTTTCTGTCAAGTTAAATAAATTAATACACTAATTGTTAATTTTCCTATCCGGTATGTTGTTTTATTTATATTTATTATATAATAAAAATAAACTAAAATAATTCGAAGTCTGGCCGCAATCGGTTATGGCCCTATGGCACGTCAATATTTTGATATTTCAATCTTCTATACTCGAGACAAAACAATATATTGTAATCTATTTATAAGATTAGCAATAAACAAGATTTTTGTAATATATAAATCTTCAATCTTAAGTTTGGCTTTTCTGTTGCAGTTGTAAAAAGTCATATATTATCATCTTGGAAGAAAATCTCAACAAATACATTTCAGACGAAGACTCGTAAAAGTAGTAGTGTATACAGAATGGGTCTCACATATATGCAATAAATGAAACCACAAGTAATACTAGTCCGTAGAAGTGTAGAAAAATTAAATATTAAATTAAAACCCGTAAAATAATAAAGTGAGATTTTCAAACAAAATAAATATTAAAATAAATTCAGTAAAAGTGACCACTCTGTTTAGACAACGTACCAACGTACATGAAGAGTGACAACGTTGCACGCGGGTGGCACGCCGACAAAAGACACCGCTGTCGATATGTCGCAATACCAATAGTTTGCACTGCGTGGCAACGTCGCTTTTTAATGTTCAAGGATTCAAGTTCATTGAATCATTGACTTAGTGACCCAATTCTATAGAGTGTTCAAATTTGCTTAAAATTAAAACTCTACTTTTTGACCTAATTACTGGACCGATTACGTTCATTTTTTGTATATCGTCAGCAAAGGCGATAACAAGTATATGGTTTCATTTATTGCATATATGTGGGACCCATTCTGTATAATATCTTTTGGGAAGACTTCGTACAATTCTTTGGTAAACGACGCAGATTTATCGATTCTTAATCAAGAAGACTGAATTTAATGTAACGTTGATCGCAATATTTATTGTATTTTCTAGCCGAACTGTTTTCGTGATAAAATAATAATAACATTGTGATATTTTTTGTAACTGAGATTGTAGTTTCTCTAGAATCCTTGTAGTTCCATATTTTGAAATATTTTTATCGATTTATCACTCCTGTATATTGTTTCGGAAATGTGGTGTTTGCAATAACATAAAACTACCTTGTGCCATAATTCAATATACATAATTAAACTTAGTCATTAAAGAATTAAGTGGCAAGTTCAAGGTATTTATTATTAGATCTTAAAGAACTTTATTATTAGGAGCAAAATATGTATATCAGTCTGTGATTTGATAGAAATAAGATTATTGGTCTAATTAAAATGACACTTTCACTTTTAAGTACGTCCTGTTGTATAAAAATGTTATAAAAGAAAGAAAAAAGAAAATTTGGGATAAAATTTTATTGTAAGTAGCTCAATATGAGACTTCATTCCATTACATTCTTAAAACATTGTATAGGGAAAAGGATGTTGTAAGTACATAATTTAAAAAAAAAGTGTAAATTGAAAATTGATGTTTTAAAATAAATTATAATTAACATTATAAAATGATATTATTCTGTCAACTTTTTTACACCGATTTATCACCAAAATATAACAATTTAAGCTTATACTACAGGCATACTTTACACTTTTGAGATTAACCTGTTAGGTGACATCCATAAATTACATCACACGCTAAAAGCTATGTGACGTCACATGTTAAAAACTAAAACGCGAAATTTATATGCACATGATAAACAATATCAAGGAGTGGGTCCATTCCGTCGAAACAAGATGATTAATTATTGTATATTTATCAACATTATTAATCGTTTATCGTTCTTTAATTGCTCTTTTGTTTTGTTCATTAGGCCTAAAATATTTTAACTGTATTTTGATTTTATTAAAGATTATTTTAAACAACTTGAATATAGTTACTTTTGAAATATAAAATTGTAAAACATGTGACGTCGCATCACGGGGAGGGGTTCACACCTGTGACAAGGACGAGGATGGGGGTCAAAACACCATAAAATTTGTGTGACGTAATTTATGGATGGCCCCTTATTAACTGTCCTTAAATAAGCCTTCTAAGTTATTTAAGCTGTTCAACAAATTATTTTTAAATGCTCACCAAATGCAGTGATTCTATCAGAAGTAATTTAATCACTAAGCGTCAAGCATGCCTATCTAAGAAAATCACATTTTTATCACTCCTGTTGATGACATTCGTGTATTTTAAATAACTAATGTGATGTACATTTTACTTATTCTCCTTATGTCTGACAACAACTGGTCCGGTGTTGTCCCCCGTTGCTTTATTGTGAGCCCCATGAGCACCATCACAGTAAGGCCACTGAAATTTAAATTATGAGACATTAATTGGATATCAATACATTAACCATTATTGGTAACTTTTATTTTGAACTAAAATAATTAGCCTAAGAATTAATTCACACAACATGTACTATGTATGTAAGCAACGCAGCAACGAGTATTTTTTTTATGGCGATTAAGTAAGTTGGAGCCCGTGGGTTTTAACGCATGTTACAAACAGCCAAGTCTCGACGTCTCTTCTAGCACACTCTGCATAGTTTAAACAGCGAACAGTAGTAAAACGCCTTTGATGTTAGGCGATGCCGCCGCCCGCGTAGGTATTTACTACTAGCGATTCGCCCCGGCTTCGCACGGGTGATTTCTGGATCTCGACAACAGCGCCACCTACCGGGTCTAAATGTGAATATAAACCATCTATGTACCCATTCAAATACAAAAAAAATCATCAAAATCGGTTAGATGGTTTTAAAGTCTATAACGGACATAGGTAATAGAAAAACAATAAACATGGTCGTCATTTAAGTTGAACTTTATATACTCAAAGGTTGAACTTTAACTAGTAACTCTTATATCTATAACCATCATAGATATTATATTTTTCGAAAACGGTAGATACTTAAAATTAGTTTAAGAAGTACCAAAATACACTCGCGTTAACCGCATGTATGTCCAGCAGACTAAGTGGAGTGCGCTTCCACAAGGCTCCGCTGTTCTTCGGCACCAGTACATTCGTTTCCTGTTTGACTCTCTTTAAACTGTGCTTCTGGTATGTAGTAAATATTACTTCCATGCTTATAAGTTATCGAATATGAAAGTGTACTTTATGCAGTGAAAGAAATATAAAAGTCACTACTTAATGCTTTTATTAAGCTAGTATTATGTCAAAGACAGAAAAGAGCACAAAATTTTATTTATTAATTGTTGAACTTTAGAATTACAACATATCAAGATTTATATAATGTATAAACGGATGCAATAATATGTACAATGTACCTAACTTGTAGGTATAGAGTTTTGTGGTTAAGACAAAGGAATTATTATGTCATTGCTAAAGATATGATATCATAAATGATAAGCGGATTACATCAACAGAAATACAAGGTTACTCATTTCATAGGCAAATAATAGAAATTAGAAGAAATATAATATATTGTTTAAAAATACAATCATGTAATAAGAAATGATAATCCTGCACTGATCCAGCCTATAGCTATTCACTGTTGGACATGGATCTAAAATCATCACATTTGGTAGGCAATGGCGCTACCAGATCACTGACACTGCTCCCTATCGTCGGAATAGCCTATTTAACATTTAGTACATACAGTATGGTAGATCCTTCATTTTCAGTGACCATGAGATCTTTTTGTAATCCCATAGTCGCCTCTTAGACACCCAAAAATATAAACAGACTTAAATTATTATTGACTAACAGATCGAATTGAAATGTTTATGAGCCCTGTGCAAGTATATTCATTTAAAAGAATATCAGTAAAATTTGCTTACTAACCTTTAAGTGGTAAAGCCACGCTGCAGCTATATTATAATTTTAGCACGAAAGGGTCAGCTCGACCAGGGCAGGACCACGCTCTCACAGAATACCAGCGTAAAATAGCAGCGTAATTCTGCTGTGTTTCGTATGGTGAGTGTGGAGAACCTGAGACCCTTTTTACTGGTATCGAGGCATTCCATCTAATGCTCACGGGTGACAACGAGTCTGCATTTTGATTCTTAATTGAGGATAAATGTGGATGTCTATGGCCACAGCATCCACTTACCATCAGGTGGACTATCATGCTCATTTGTCACCCAATACTATAAACCTTAACATTGTTTTATACACATCAAATATGCATGTATTTATGGTGGATGTTTAGAAAAAGGGCAACATTTTTATAGTGCACCTATTTATAATTTTATATGCAATTTCTACATTTACCACTGATGTGGCTGTTAACCACAGGTTTAGTTGTCAGATGCCTGGCTACTATGCTGCAGGTTCCAAGTTCCTACTGGAGCCAACACTTTACGCAAAGACATATTTTTGGCACATAAGTGATATATTGGGCAAAAATCTGGCAGAAGTAGATTTAGATGAGTTTAAATATTTATTGTGTGTCATGTCCTGGCAGTAGTTCTCCTAGCAGTTCGAAGTTTGTCATAGAACTTACATTTTTGCTCCTCCAGCACCTGCATAATGATACCTTCTCTGTTATATCTTCAATATCAATAAAATCAACCACTTTTTTTATATCTTTCTTGATGCTTGGATTTACTTGACCATTACCAGCTTCTTTTGCTTTTTTAATTGTTTGATATGAATAGTATGAAATGCCCCCCAGAGCAAGAGTTGGAGGCAGTAAAGCAAACCAGTCTTTTACTGAAATAAAATTAATTTTTTTAATTTATTATTCAAAGGACTTTATCGCTAAGTTACCACACTATCCCATTCAGACCACAATTACAAATCTCTATAATGGAATCACAAAATTGACCATTTGACTATCATTATCCTCTTTTTTCGGACAGAGAAGTTTTTAAAAAATAAAATATCATAGTAACAAAAGTTTTGTGCAAGGAACACGCGCGACTATAAATAATGACACCCAAGGAATAAGCGGAATTATAAACAATCACACCTATTCCTTACACATAATAAAGTCTGCTAGCTTGACCAGCATCTAGCTTTCTCCGACATTGGATAAGCCAAAATCCTATTTAAGGCATGGACCTAGAAAAAAGGGTGCCAATGTAAAAATTTACTATCCCTACTTAATTATAACATTCTTTTTTTTTACTTTTTTCATGATGTTATTTATAATACAGCACCCACAATAAAATATGTTGAACATTTTCAACTATTACATATATACATCGCAATTCGATGATGGTACTTTTTCATTAAAACAGCAATCTTCTTCGATGGAATATACCCTGAATGTAATCTTAGAGTAGATCATACAGATTTTCTGATTAATGGACTATTATC